AAAAATGAAAGTGGCCCGTCTTCCTTACACTTCTCACAAAATCAACTCAAAATGAATTAAGGATTGGAACATAAGTCCGGAAATAATAAAATTCTAGAAGACAACAGGGGGGTACCCCCTTGACATGGCTCTCTTGGCAATGAATTTTGGGATTTAAACCCAAAAGCAAGGGCAAACAAAGTCAAAATAAACAAGTGGGACTGGATCAAACTAAAAAGCTTCTGACCAGCAAAGGTATTCTTCAACAAAATGAAAACAAAACTTATGGAACAGGAGAAAATTTTTGCAAATATATATCTGTATAAGGCACTCATATAACTCAATAACAAAAAGCAAACCCCCCCCCCCCCCCCCAATAATCAGATTAAAAATGGGCCGAGGAACTTTTCCCAAAGACACAAATGGCCAACAGGTAAATGAAAAGCTGCTCATCACCAATCATCAGAGAAATGCAAATGAAAACCACAATGTAGATATCACCTTACACCTGTTAGAATGGCTGTCATCAAAAAACAAGAGATAAGTATTGTCAAGGATGTGGACACAAGAACCCTGTGCACTGCTGGTGGGAATGTAAACTGGTGCAGCCACTGTGGAAAACAGTATGGAGGTTCCTCAAAAAATTAAACATAGCCCTAGCCGGTTTGGCTCAGTGGATAGAGCGTCGGCCTGCGGACTGAGGGGTCCCAGGTTCGATTCCGGTCAAGGGCATGTACCTTGGTTGCAGGCACATCCCCAGTGGGGGGTGTGCAAGAGGCAGCTGATCGATGTTTCTCTCTCATTGATGTTTCTAACTCTCTATCCCTCTCCCTTCCTCTCTGTAAAAAATCAATAAAATATATTTAAAAAAAAAAATTAAACATAAAACTACCATATTATCCCTAATTCTACCCTGGATATCAGAAGGAAACAAAACCATTCTCGAAGAAATATCTGCAACCCCACATTTACTGCAGACAGTTTACAACAGCCAAGCCATGGAAACAAACTAAGTGTCCATGGAGAGATGAATGGATACAAAAAATGTGGTGTATATACACGATGAAATATTAATCAGCCATAAAAACGAAGAAAATCCTGTCATTTGCATGAATGGACCTTGAGGGTATTAAGTGAAATAAAGTCAGATAGAGAAAGAGAAATATCGTACACTCTCACTTACATTTGGAATCTTAAAAAAAATAAAAAATGAACACATAGAAAAGATTGATCAAAAGTTACAAATTTCCAGTATAAGTTCTGCAGATATAATGTAGAACATAGCTTTA